TACTTTGCACAGATAAAGACTGATATTGGACTATTTTGCTGTGCTTAATGCACAGCCCTCTTGTACAGGCCACAGACACCCAGGGATTGAACCAGGGGCAACTTTGTTGCACCTGGCTTTTAAAGTTGTAAATCCCGTTTTGCTGCAGGCTTTTCCCTGCAGAAGTTGCCCCTCTTGGGCCAAAAAGTTTCTTGTGCCACTGAGGTTTTCCTTTGGTAGGATGAGGGAAAAGATTTTTCACCAGATAATTCCTTTTTTGCTACAATAATCCTCCAGTTCTGGCAGATGACATTGCTCCAGTTTTCAACAAACACATTTTTTCATATCAATGTACCAGAATAATCCTTTCTTTTGCAAAGAATAATTTTTTGATTGACTTCAATGATTTTTTGGCTGTTTTATGTTGGTCCAGTTGTAAAGGAAGGGACGATTTTTTTCACTAGTTCATTCCAGGAAAGCCTTGACAACTATATTCCGGTATTGGAATGACAACCGCATTCCACCCACCCTGGATTGGCACTTCTGCATTAGGCATCTGGACAGATATTCCCACTACGCATTGGAGAGCCCTGAACAGATGGGATTTTGATGGGTTGGTTGGCTACCAGGAATTTTGGTGTTACTCAGCGTTGCCAAGTTATTTAATTTTAGTTCCCGTCCGGATATTTCGGGTCGCAATTTTCTTCCACGTACTGTACTATTATGACCGTGATGAGTTAACTTTCTGTTGTTTATTTTGTTGTTACGTTGTTCATGAATACTGGAGAAAACTAGTCGCGAGATTTTTGCCCTACGAAATCGTGCAGGGAATGAGTTCGTCTAATATCTGATACGTTTTATGAAGTGTGGACGAAACTGAAAATCTTCTGCATTCGTGAAAGAATATTTTTTAATGGAAAACGCGTATTCAATGAATAACGCGTATTCGTCACAGGAATTACGAGAAAAGCGGAAAATTATGCGTGTTGAGGCAAATCAAATTTTTTTTTCATGCTGAATAATCTGGGAAGGTGACTCCTTTATTCGTGATTCAATATTTGTATTTTTCAAGTGCTTTTATTATTGCTAGAAATGTGGAAATTTTTAAAGATGAAAACGTATTCACTCCAGATTTTAAAAAAAACGTGATGCTTTGAAGCTGGTACTGTGAATCGTATTAGACAAATACAAATACTCTGGTTCATGTTTTGTTTCCTCGATCATATTATTTGTTGGAAACGATAGTGGGATTTTTTTCTTGTTCAAAGAGTGATTTATTTTGTGCGAATTTATTTTTGGTGCCGTGTGATGCAAGATCAATTGCGCTCGTGTGCATTTGGTGTGGATATTTCTCCAGAATGCTTGAGCTTACATAATGAATTCCGCGTTGAATCGTGAAATTTTTCTGCGTTTTGTGGGAATTATTTTTGAATTTGCTGATGATCGTGAGGGGGACGATGTACTGTGATTGACTGCCAGATGTAGTGCCTTGGAGATGGGGGTAATTCACGTTCCCGACATATGTTATCCTGTGTTCTGGCTTTTCGATGCGAACAGTAAGAAAGGATTTTTTTTTTCTTGGGCAAACACGGAATTTCATTTCGGTTNTTGTATGGGTGGGGGCTTGCATCACAAAATGGAACACAGAATCTGGATCACTAATCTGGGCAGACCAGTCACCACTAACAGCCACACTACAATAATCAACCCTTCAGATTTTTTGTGGGGGATGCCCATTGGATTTTGAGATGATCTCCATTTATTCTGCAACTGTTGCCACATCAGCCCAAAAGTTCAAACAGTCACCCAACTGGACTTGTAGTCTGCATATATTCAAGGAGTGTTCTGCAGAAGGGAGACTCCTTGGATATATACAGACTTGTAGTCTGTATATATCCAAGGAGTGTCCTGCAGAATGAAGACTTGTCCTTGGATGTGTGCAGACTTCATTTGGATACCTTGAGCATGCCTTGGATGAAATTTGGAGTGCTTTTGGAGAGTTTTTCTGGATTTGGGTAATTTTTGGATATAAGAGGACTACTTCTTGCTCACTGGGCAGGAGTAGAGTGCAACCAATGAGTGCACGCAACCCCGTATCTTTCACAGATCTACAGTATTATTGGCCTAAGGGAATTTGTGGACTGCAGGATTTTCTCTTCCAGTACAGGATTTCATAAAGGTGCAGCTGTTGAACACCGAACACTTTTCAAAAATTGAAAAAATTCCAGGCATGCAAATTTGAATCATACCCCTGATGGATGATGAGTATGAGGGCTGGCAGAATTCATGGGAGCCACCATGTTGTGCGCTGTTAACATCTATGACTCCCTCTTGCCACTGTCTCTGAACTCCCCCACCATGGTCTTGCTCACGGGGGTTCCTCACGGCCAGAAATCTCTTAAACTGCTGGGCGTGGGGAACTGTGGAAGGCATGATGAACATGGTGTGTGTCACTAGGGAGAACACACCATGACCATCATGCTTCCAGCTCCCAAGCCCTCATTGTTTGCTGGGTGTCAACTCCTTTTTAAGAGGAAGTTGGGCCTAGGCATCCCTGGCTCATCACAGGTCCCATCAGCATCACAAGAGGTCACTGGAATAAGGCAGGAATCAGAAATGGATAAAAAGGATTCAAGATTGCTGAGTAGACTGCTACTGATTGACTGGACTTAAATTTAGGAAGGAGACTATACAAGACTTCAGAAGAGAGACTACTTTGCACAGATAAAGACTGATATTGGACTATTTTGCTGTGCTTAATGCACAGCCCTCTTGTACAGGCCACAGACACCCAGGGATTGAACCAGGGGCAACTTTGTTGCACCTGGCTTTTAAAGTTATAAATCCCGTTTTGCTGCAGGCTTTTCCCTGCAAAAGTTGCCCCTCTTGGGCCAAAAAGTTTCTTGTGCCACTGAGGTTTTCCTTTGGTAGGATGAGGGAAAAGATTTTTGACCGGATAATTCCTTTTTTGCTACAATAATCCTCCAGTTCTGGCAGATGACATTGCTCCAGTTTTCAACAAACACATTTTTTTGATATCAATGTACCAGAATAATCCTTTCTTTTGCAAAGAATAATTTTTTGATTGACTTCAAAGATTTTTTGGCTGTTTTATGTTGGTCCAGTTGTAAAGGAAGGGACGATTTTTTCACTAGTTCATTCCAGGAAAGCCTTGACAACTATATTCCGGTATTGGAATGACAACCTTATTCTACCCACCCTGGATTGGCACTTCTGCATTAGGCATCTGGACAGATATTCCCACTACACATTGGAGAGCCCTGAACAGATGGGATTTGGATGGGTTGGTTGGATACCAGGAATTGTTGGTGTTACTCAGCGTTGCCAAGTTATTCAATTTTAGTTCCCGTCCGGATATTTCGGGTCGCAATTTTCTTTCGCGTACTGTACTATTATGACCGTGATGAGTTAACTTTCTGTTGTTTATTTTGTTGTTACGTTGTTCATGAATACTGGAGAAAACTAGTCGCGAGATTTTTGCCCTACGAAATCGTGCAGGGAATGAGTTCGTCTAATATCTGATACGTTTTATGAAGTGTGGACGAAACTGAAAATCTTCTGCATTCGTGAAAGAATATTTTTTAATGGAAAACGCGTATTCAATGAATAACGCGTATTCGTCACAGGAATTACGAGAAAAGCGGAAAATTATGCGTGTTGAGGCAAATCAAATTTTTTTTTCATGCTGAATAATCTGGGAAGGTGACTCCTTTATTCGTGATTCAATATTTGTATTTTTCAAGTGCTTTTATTATTGCTAGAAATGTGGAAATTTTTAAAGATGAAAACGTATTCACTCCAGATTTTAAAAAAAACGTGATGCTTTGAAGCTGGTACTGTGAATCGTATTAGACAAATACAAATACTCTGGTTCATGTTTTGTTTCCTCGATCATATTATTTGTTGGAAACGATAGTGGGATTTTTTTCTTGTTCGAAGAGTGATTTATTTTGTGCGAATTTATTTTTGGTGCCGTGTGATGCAAGATCAATTGCGCTCGTGTGCATTTGGTGTGGATATTTCTCCAGAATGCTTGAGCTTACATAATGAATTCCGCGTTGAATCGTGAAATTTTTCTGCGTTTTGTGGGAATTATTTTTGAATTTGCTGATGATCGTGAGGGGGACGATGTACTGTGATTGACTGCCAGATGTAGTGCCTTGGAGATGGGGGTAATTCACGTTCCCGACATATGTTATCCTGTGTTCTGGCTTTTCGATGCGAACAGTAAGAAAGGATTTTTTTTTTCTTGGGCAAACACGGAATTTCATTTCGGTTGAATTGATTGCCTGGATTTGGAAGCGTAGTTTGTGCGCTGGATTTTCCTCGTCTTGTGGTAGTTAATGTATGTTGTTTGTTCGGCTAATGTCTTTTGATTCCATTTGTTCCACATTCTGTGAATGGTTTGTTTATTAACATATCCTGATTATTGATTTCTGGAATATAATACGCGAGAATGTGTTCATTCGCTCTACAGATGGCAAAGCATCCGCAGATATTTGTGCTTTCGCAAGCTTTTCCCGACCTAACGGACTATCTTTCGAAAGAAATGCCTGACGTGGATTTTGTCAAAATCACGTCTCCTGGAGTACAAGGCGAGTGTAAATTTTTTAAATAAAAAAATAATATGCAGTTGTACCTCCTCAAATTTAAGGGATCGGCGAAAAATTCGAGTTGGGGGAACGAGAGGAGAATAACGGGAAATTGATGTTATGGGCCTTGAATTACTTTTCAAATGAGTTAACTATACATGCTGAATTTCGAGTCAAATGTTCGTTTTTCTCTTCTTTTGAAAACATTTCGAAGTGCATTTTTGTTGATTTTCTTTTGCATGTGTGAATACCGTAATATAATAGCGAAAAGGTCTCTCCAGAAAATTTGAGTTGTGGAGGTCTGATTTCAGAAACCTCACCTTTGAGTGAGCGAGGTTTCTGATGCTTCGTTTCTATTTAAGGGACAGTCACTTGAAAAAAATAATAACAATTTCGACTTGGGGTGGCATATGCGTTATCGAGGTTCAAGTGTACAGTATATTTGAAAATCAACAAGTTGAATGTCACTATAGAGAGGTTTCTTCATTTCAGGTCACGAAACCCAGTCATTCGGGGAACTGTTGAAAACGAAGCTGACTTCAGAAGTGCTTGAAAAGCTGAAGACGGTCGAGTTCGTTGTGATTGACGCGCATTTTCTCGGGCAAGCCATGTACGACTTGCCGAACTTGAAATGGGCGCATCTCACCTGGGCTGGTGTGGAGAAGTTATTTACATTCATTGATCACGCGAAGGTATTGCCTTTGTCAAATATCGATTTATTTTTTCATCCCAGAATAAGGACTTGTTGAAAATGTTACGGTTTTTTTAATTCGTTTTCGTTTGTCGGATTAGCGTGAAGCGAAGAAATGGTGAGCTTCACTGCGGATTATACGTATGAAAATTTCTTCATAGTGCTCGTAGTTCGTTTCCCTCATGTTTGAAGTCTAGCAGGAATTCTTCCAGTTGTCTTCCTTTATACGTAGAATTTATGCTTCCCCAAGCGTTTGTGTTGTCTTTATCTGTAAAATATTTTTTTCCTCCATCTCGAAATGTTTGGAATCCGACAGAAATTCTTCGATTCATCGTCGTTCGTTTATAGCATCCTTCCCCCATTGACATCGCTATCTATACGTGTTTTTGAGATCTTTGAACACATCTGCTGTAGCACGTAAAGTATTTTCCTTGTACTGTGTAAGAAACGATATATTTTGTACGGTATTCGCGTAAATAACTGTACGGTATGATTATTTTTATAAATTTTCAGCCTCCTGGACTCCGAGTCGTTTGCAGAACTGAAACTTCTTTAAACGTATCCATTCGTAAAAATCGGTTTTCATCCCTTCTGAGGATTACGATCATTAAATGTGAATTTCTTTTTCCCCCAGGAACCCCCGAAGTTCCCGATCTGTCGCTACTCTGGCAAACATTTCGGCCAGCAAATGTCGGAGTACGCTGTGTGGGCAGTTGTCGGATTTGAAAGAGGCTTATTCCGGGCTGCAGAGCATCAAAAACAGGGCATCTGGGTCCGAGATGGACGAATGCATCGTCAGCAGTTCATTAGGAGAATGACCTGTGGCATTATGGGTGTCGGGATGATCGGGTCGCATGGTAAAAAGTCGTTTCTGGATGTTTCCATAGGCGTCAGAATGCAATGCAGTAGAAATTCTATTATCCTTTATTATGAGTAGACAGTAGATATTGTTCCTCCAGTTTCATTTAAATTTTCTTGTATGAGGAACAAATTTATATTTTTCCGGCTCACGGTTGTTAATCAGACAGAAACAAATCTCTGTACTGCATACATTTTCTTGAAGAAACCGAAGTAGCAGACGAAAATGTTGAAACATGTTTTGTACAAAAATTCCGTTTTTAATTTATTCCTATTGTAGAACATGAAATTTTCAAGATTGTGCCGAATTTTAGCAAATTCAGTCAAACCCTGATAAGCCTCGCCGAATTCCGCAATCACCAATTATTTCTTTTGAGAAATAAATTGTCCCTATTTTTAGAATTGGAATCCTCGTTTAATCTTCATGCGCCAGAATTATGGACAACTCAAATATGCTCCTGCCAATTTGTTTGTCTTCAATATTCCACCATGATTCAAGTTCCTGCGAGAAATCTCATCCTAAAAAACACACAAAGATGACATAAAATACTTCTAGGAAGATATTTTGATTGTGTTGTCAGTGTGATAATATGACAATACTTGGGAAGTACCCCGAGGCGAAACTTTCTGGCGATCCTTTGGTGCATTGATTACTTTGCAACAAAGTAATATTATATTCCCGATGTTTAATATTCTCTCTGCGTCCCGAGACGCATCGACAAACGACATCAACTCTTATCCTTACCCGTATCAAGATCTACTTCATTATAAAACCAAATGATCCTCTCCGCCCCGAAACTCTGTTGCTGACCAGATCCCTCTTGAAGATAGCCCCTTTNAGGCGAGTGTAAATTTTTTAAATAAAAAAATAATATGCAGTTGTACCTCCTCAACTTTAAGGGATCGGCGAAAAATTCGAGTTGGGGGAACGAGAGGAGAATAACGGGAAATTGATGTTATGGGCCTTGAATTACTTTTCAAATGAGTTAACTATACATGCTGAATTTCGAGTCAAATGTTCGTTTTTCTCTTCTTTTGAAAACATTTCGAAGTGCATTTTTGTTGATTTTCTTTTGCATGTGTGAATACCGTAATATAATAGCGAAAAGGTCTCTCCAGAAAATTTGAGTTGTGGAGGTCTGATTTCAGAAACCTCACCTTTGAGTGAGCGAGGTTTCTGATGCTTCGTTTCTATTTAAGGGACAGTCACTTGAAAAAAATAATAACAATTTCGACTTGGGGTGGCATATGCGTTATCGAGGTTCAAGTGTACAGTATATTTGAAAATCAACAAGTTGAATGTCACTATAGAGAGGTTTCTTCATTTCAGGTCACGAAACCCAGTCATTCGGAGAACTGTTGAAAACGAAGCTGACTTCCGAAGTGCTTGAAAAGCTGAAGACGGTCGAGTTCGTTGTGATTGACGCGCATTTTCTCGGGCAAGCCATGTACGACTTGCCGAACTTGAAATGGGCGCATCTCACCTGGGCTGGTGTGGAGAAGTTATTTACATTCATTGATCACGCGAAGGTATTGCCTTTGTCAAATATTGATTTATTTTTTCGTCCCAGAATAAGGACTTGTTTAAAATGTTACGGTTTTTTGAATTCGTTTGTCGGATAAGCGTGAAGCGAAGAAATGGTGAGCTTCACGTCGGATCATACGGATGAAAATTTTTTTATAGTGCTCGTACTTCGTTTCCCTCATGTTTGAAATCTGGCAGGAATTCTTCGAGTTGTGTTCGTTTATACGTAGAATTTATGCTTCCCCAAGCGTTTGTGTTGCCTTTATCTGTAAAATCTTTTTTTCCTCCATTTCGAAAATGTTAGGAATCCGACAGAAATGTTTCGATTAATCGTCGTTCGTTTATAGCATTCTTCCCCAAATGAATTTGCTATCTATACGTGTTTTTGAGATCTTTGAACACTTCTGCTGTAGCAGAGTAGCGCATACTGTATTTTCCGTCTACTGTGTCAGAAAGGATATATTTTGTACGGTATTCGCGTAAATAACTGTACAGTATGATTATTTTTATAATTTTTTAGCCTCCTGGACTCCCGAGTCGATTGCAGAACTGAAACCTCTTTAAACGTATCCATTTGTAAAAATCGGTTTTCATCCCTTATGAGAATTACGATCATGAAATGTGAATTTTTTTTTCCCCAGGAACCCCCGAAGTTCCCGATCTGTCGCTACTCTGGCAAACATTTCGGCCAGCAAATGTCGGAGTACGCTGTGTGGGCAGTTGTCGGATTTGAAAGAGGCTTATTCCGGGCTGCAGAACATCAAAAACAGGGCATCTGGGTCCGAGATGGACGAATGCATCGTCAGCAGTTCATTAGGAGAATGACCTGTGGCATTATGGGAGTCGGGATGATCGGGTCGCATGGTAAAAAGTCGTTTCTGGTTGTTTCCAGGCGTCAGAATACGATGCTGTAGAAATTCTATTATCCGTTATTATGACAGAAATAAATTCTCTAAAAGCAGGGAATGAGGAGTACAGTGAATATTTTCCTCCAGTTTCATTTACATTTGCCTGTATGAAGAACAAATTTATATTTTTCCGGCTCACGGTTGTCAATCAGACAGAAACAGTTCTACATTTTCTTGAAGAAACCGAAGTAGCAGACGAAAATATTGAAAAATGTTTTGTACAAAAATTCCATTTTAAATTTACTCCTACTGTAGAACATGAAATTTTCAAGATTGTGCCGAAGTTTAGCAAATGCAGTCAAACCCCGATAAGCCGCCGACCTCCGCAATCGCCAATAATTTCTTTTGAGAAATAAATTGTCCCTATTTTTAGGATTGGAATCCCCGTTTAATCGTCATGCGCCAGAATTATGGACAACTCAAATATTCTCCTGACAATTAGTTTTTCTTCAATAGTCCACCATGATTCAAGTTCCTGCGAGAAATCTCATCCTGAAAAACACACAAAGATGACATAAAATACTTCTAGGAAGGTATTTTGATTGTTTTCGTGGAGAAAAAAAATTTCATTTCCTATCATACTCAATTGTTATGTTCTTTTAACCCTTTTTATAAACCGACAACCCCATTGAAACATCACAAACCTCGCGAACAGATGGTGACGGCTTATCGACGTTTGACTGGAATGCCACTCATCATTAAATGGCTTCTTATTGAAATAATGGCACATACAATGACACGAACGGTTTGCCGTAACTCTTGTGTAAATTGTTGTATTTACCCGCCTCTGAAATGCTACAAGCTTAGTAATTCGTTTAAAATGTTTCAAAAAAGTCGTTTTCCGCGAATCTTCAGATTTTGTGAAAACTGCTAAGTGTTAGAGGTGGAAAGCTGCAATACAGGGGTCCAATGTCTTGATCGTATTGTTTAATTGAACCCTGGATTAATTTCTTTGTTGTGCTCTTTTTTGTTTCGATGACACGTTTTTGAAATTGGTTGAAACGTTTTTGGCATTCATCGGGCGTCTTGTGATAATTCTCTAGTTGCGCAAACCTTCAAGACCTTTGGCGGTGATGTGATTGGGCTCGGTTTACACGAGAAGACAAAAGAGGACATTCCATTTTTGAGAAAATACTGGTGAGTCACGCACTCACTACTCCATTGTGAATAGCCCTGCTCTTACGAGTGCGTTTTCTGCTCTGAAGGACTGTGGACAAGTTGGACGAGTTCCTAGCGGAATGCGATGTGATTATTTCCATATTGCCGGCGACGCAGCTGACTATTGGATTGCTCAACAACTCTCGACTGGAAGCGTGCAAAAAGCAGCCTTTGTTCATAAACATAGGACGCGGGAATTTGATAGCGGATGCGGAGATCATTCGTGCCCTTGACAATGGGTGGATTCGCGGTGCTGTTTTGGACGTGTTTATGCCAGAACCCTTGCCTGAAAGCAGTCCTTTGTGGAGGCATGAGAACGTGAGTTGCTGGTGACTCTTCTATCGATTCGGCAAAATAACAGTGCTGAATGAACATGAGAGCATTCGACTTGGACTTTCGAAAGAGGGCGTTTTCAAGAATTTTTTGAAACTTAATCGCGACGATAATATGGAGGCAGTCTTTCGTCAGAATCGGATGCTTGACCAAGTTTTCTTCTCGACGATTACTTTTGAGTAGCCGAATTTTCTTCGCCTTGCTCAATTTCTTTTCGAACCATGAGTTAAGAAGAAAAGTGAAGGAACTTACTTTCTCTATAGAGACGTATTACTCGCAGTCTAAATGTCTGTATCAAGATATCTGCGTCTTTTGTATCGCACGGTCACACTTTTGAAGGCATCTCTTCATTTTTGGATACCCATATTTATTAAAGTATCACGAGCACGTATTTTCATGAGTTCGAGAAGAAATGGGGCTCCGCGTAACAGGAGAGTATACCGGTACATTTTTAAAAAAAATTTTAGAAGTTGAATTGTGCATTGAATTAATTCGAATGTTAAATTTCGGCTCGATTTAAACATAAAAACTAATTGTAATGAAAATTACTGAAAATAACTTGAATTCAGGATCAATTCATATGGAATTTCTCATTCAGGTGTTCTTGATTTTAAAATATCGCAGCGTTAGAGTAACTAAAAATGAGGTGCGCATCTTACGCAGAAATAAAATTTTATGAAGAAAAAAAATTGGGCTCGTGATACTCCAGTAAATACGTGTATTATCTGCTCGGTGAATTTTATGAGTAAAGGAGCCCTGAAATAGTAAGAAAACCAACAACACTTTCCGTGATCGAAGTGGCAGTCAAATTGTGATGACCAAATTGTGGATGAATCGTGTGATTGACGCTTGACTTGGTTTTGACTTGAGACCTAGACAATAGCAAAATAAAGTTCAAATTGCCGCTCCACGTTTTTTGAATATCCATCAAATTAGCAATACTCGCATCTCATTTCTCATGTTCGTGGCAACCTGAAGCATCAACCTGACGGAAGTTATCCCAGCTGGACGCGACCTCAGATATTTTTAGGGTGGGTGTGATTTAAAGAAAGAGAATGACTATGATCTTTGGAGGTTCGTGGATTATTAAAATGATAAATCAATTAATTGTTTTCTAGTGTTGAAGAAGTTTCTGCAAAAGTTAAGAACCAATAAAGCAGCTTCAGTGGAATGTATCCGAAAATTCAAAATTTGAGCATAAAGAAATGTTTGTTAAAATGAAAAATTGAAATCATGTATTTCAGCTGATTAAAATCTGTCAGAAGTGTTCTTAGGGGAAAAGCCAGCGTTTATTTTTCAGAAGATAATTTCAACTGCCATTTTCTTTCCAAATTTTTAGATCAAGATAACAGACTTCATCGCTGTTCCTGATGAATTTATCATGGGTGAAAACTTTCTATTTACAGTCAGAGATCTCCGACTACGTCACACTTGCTATAAGTTTTCAGGTTAGCTATAACATGGAATTCTATTTTGGTTTAACCATTATCTAAAATTTAGGAAACATAATGGATGCTGAAAAAGATTCCAATTGTTTTTAGCAAGCCTGACAAATTTGTTGGCACCATGTGGAATGGGTAGAGAACTCTGGCTGTATCTGGAAAGTTTTCACTTATCAATATGTAGTGATTTTGAAAAGTTATTTTCTGAATCCAAAAAATTTTCAGAACATCATGGGCTGTGTCATAAATGTATTCAGTTTCTACAATCACACGTACTCTAAAAATATCAGAGGTCGCGTTCAACTGGGACAACCTTCGTAATTTCACATTGAGGAAGTGAATAAATTCACTTCCTCTCATGTTGCAGATTATGTAACTTTCTAGAATTAGGAAAAATATCGCTGTCACCCTGTATTATTTTAGGTACAGTATATTTTTCAGGGACAGCAACAGCAGAACAGTAATTGAGAGGGTTGAATTCAATCCAGAAAATCACCTTCAGCTGTTGACCATCGAAGTTTTCGACTGAAAAAAGTGTATGTGTTTGTGTGATGGATACATATTGCATTCGTGTGTTTATCCAGGTTCACATAACTCCTCATGTTGCCGGCGTGTCGAAAGAAGAGGACATTGTGGAGCAAGTTTCCGAAAGCTTTTCATCAATGCTTGGCGGAGGGAAGCTGGAGGGCTTGATCGATTTTACTGAGGGTTATTGAAGCTACTCAAAGGTTATTTTTTGATGTGGCACTTACGGGTACGGGTGCTAAAAGAGAAATGTTACTAACCGGTGCGAATTGATACACTTTCACGGAATGCATTGTGGAACGTTAGTCTTCGGTATATTTTTTTGGGGCCTGAATGAATGAATATTGGTCGAGAAGAATGGGGATCATTTTAATATTTCAAGATTTCCTGCTGATCGCAGGGAAAATGAGTAAACCTTTTCCTGCGGTTTTCGAAAATTCCAGAAAGAAATATGCGTGGAGCAAAATTTGACCCAAAGTCGTGTTTTCAATTGTTCTGCTGTGAACTGGTGTCAACTGGAGCAAAAGAACTCAATTGTGCGATTTCAACGTCCGTGATATGAAGCATGTTTATGATCCAATTAATTCCGAGTTCAGCTTGCTCTTAATTTTATGATCCATGGAATCTCGGTATAAAATGGCTGATATTAATGTTCTTGAAGTGCATTAAATTTTGAATTGGGCAGGTCCACGTGAAGTGCTTTAATTCGCGACGAAGCGAGATTTCCAGTAAATTTACGACGGACATCGTTCCATTATTGTCTGAAATTGAATTCTCTTTCGGCTCTTCCGAAATTGATACGATGAAAATGTCGTTGCTCACTGTAATTGGGAATTTTATATTGGACATAATGCGCTTTGCCAAGATATAGGAACATTTACGTGGAATATATATTCGTGGAAACCTTAGTTTTGAATCTTGGATGTGATTACCGTCAGAACTTACCGAGAACGTTTTTTAGTTACTGTATTTCAAGTACAGTAATTGATTTCTCTTTTACTGACTGAGAAGTCGTAAAACATGGATATGTGATTAATGTATCCCTTTTGAGCTCAATATCCTTAGATAATGATTTGTACTTCATCATATTATTTTTCTGGATTTTATATTTTGTGGTCTATATAGGCCAGTGTTACTGTTTGGGCCTGCAGATTGGCAAATGTCCATGCAATTGTTTGCGGACCAGCAAATTTCCGTGATACTTTTTCGCTGACTATCAAATTTTTGGAGAAAAAAAATTGCTGCAGACTGAAAGTTTTATGACATTTTCGCAGCCTCAAAACATTGCTTTTTGTAAGACTTGATTGCCGGTGTAGAAGAAGTTTCTGCTTTTCTGCAAAAGTCAAGAACCAATAAAGCAGCTTTAGTGGAATGTATTCGAAAATTAGAAATTTGAGCATAAAGAAATGTTTGTTAAAATGAAAAATTAAAATCATTTATTTCAGCTGATTGAAATCTGTCAGAAGTGTTATTAGGAGAAAAGCCAACGTTTATTTTTCAGCAGATAATTTCAACTGCCCTTGTCTTTCCAAATTTTTAGATCAAGATAACAGACTTCATTGCTGTTTGTGATAAATTTATTGTGAAGAAAATTTCCCATTCATATACAAGTTCCCTTTTCTTCAGCTTCATTTAAAAAAGTTGATGAAAATGCCCTTGTCCATAGCTTATTACAGCTGGGTATCATTTTTTTTCCATTCTACTGAAGCCTCCAAAGCACACCCTCATTTCCTCACTTAATACAATATTAAACAAGCTTTGAAAATGTTGTGTAAGCATTTGGTCTATTGATTAATTTCTCGCTGGATATGTCCGTTGGAACTGCAGTAGATGGTACTCCGCAGTCTATTTTCATTACAGATTCTTGAATTTTTTTATTCGGAATTTTTGCCTCAGAGCAAAACTTTTTCGAACAAATTTTTTGTTGTTGAGTGAGATATTTCTGGAGGAAAAAAGTTCAACTGAAAAGTTTGTTAACCGGGGGTTCACTGTACAAGTTCATTAAATAGTGTACAGGTAATTGTCCCGTTGCTGGAAAATCTGTGGACCAAGAAATAAAGTGCTAATATTGTAATTTGAATGAACGATTCATTCTGGATGATCTGAGGAAGCCCTCGGAAAATTCCTTGGCTGCAAAACGTGAAGCTATTCCGTTTCAGATCCGTTAAAAATTCCCTTCGTAAATTCGTGATGGACGGCATAAACCGTGAAAAAAAAGCACTCAACAGAGATCAAGAAAAATGCCAGAGCCTTGATCTAATAATTAATTTCTGAGACACTCCAGCAACGTGGACGTGTTCTATCCAAATTGGACGGCGGTGGCATTATTTTGCATGCAGAAGAAGACGCAACTCATTTAAAAGCTGTGCGCATGAACGGATAAATGCTTGCGGAAGAAAGAAGCTGACGAGAATCATTTCATGATTGTCCATTCGATCGTGACATTATATCTGATGCCGTTAATTTCTCATCCGTGGAGCATAAAATCTTCATTAACGTGAGACCCGATCGGGTATTAATCGGTGCGGTCAATGTCAGGACGAATGCAGCTAATAAGTCCGTCAGTCTCGCTTCATTTCGGACACCGAATGTCGTTCGTGGGCGAGGTTTTCAATGGCCGAGATTCGCGCATTCCATGCACTTCTTCACGCGAACGATGCCTTATTAATCCATCACCGGCTCGGCTTGCAAGAGGTCCACTTATTACGTCGTCAATAATTAATGACATCGTCTAAATTTAACACCAAATCGGCCATGAAGTTTCGGACAAATTGCCGCGACAAGCGGAGTCGCGGGATCAAATCTGATGGGTGATGTATTCCGCTGCGATTTGCCAGAAAGTTGTTCACTCTGACGATTAAAACTTCGTGTACGCGTTCCAAGAAAGTTGAAGAACATGTGTTCGAGTCTGATACGGTATTAACGTTGTGAAATTCCAAAGAAACTTGCATCAGAACTGTTGGCACGCTACGGATGTATTTATCGTGCAATGCTCTCGTAAGCTTCTGAACATGCGTACCCACGATCTAGTATTACCGTTCACAATACATTTTAGTGATTTAAAAACGATGGAAACACTCCGAACGTGCTGAAACGTAGCCTTTTGTCGAAAATCGTGAATCCTTGATGCCATAATACTGTATAAGGATCAAAGGATGCATTCGCGTCTTTCGAACGAATGGAGAAAGAATGGAATAAAACGCGTGCATTTCGAAAGCGTTTGAGAACTGTCACAGACCACATTTTGCGGGGAGTCACACAGCAGCGATGAGGTCAGAAATTAATACGTTCTGCAACGTCATGATCGCTTCGCATGCACTAAAATACACTTTTCTCTCCCGCGCATGCGGTTCTAATTACCTTCAGTTGCCGGGAAGTGAGAGACATATATAAGCTGTGATTCGTTATGAAAGTCGCATCGGGTACATTTCGGGCTTCTATAGTCCGACATGCCTCGTTTTATAAGGTGCTCATGCAACTGCTGAAAGATATGATTTTATTTCTCAATGCTGTTATCCTTTCTCTGGTGGGAAAAACTATACATGATAATCGGTATATTCAGCGAGTATAATGCAATAATTCGCAGGACGTTGGATACTTGCATATTCCCTCGATTGTTTTTGATGGCAAATGCAATATGCACAGGATACGCGGTTTCTCCTGTGACGGATAAGCGAAACATATATGTTCGTTGTTCAAAATCGTTAAGAGATTAGAAATGGGCACGCGAAAATTATGGATTTTGAAATTTTTTTCGTCGAGGACTTGATAGTGGAACTTGAAACGAGATGAGAATTAAAAATTTACTTCCCGCATTATTTTTACATTGCTTAGGTAATCGGAACAATATTTTCTGCGATCAAGTTGTTACTTTGTTCATCATATTATAGGTATGTTAAATACTGTAATGCGTGATCTGTAAGGTACTGTGTCCGTTCAAAAAGCGTATGATGCTTATTATAGGAGATGTTTTATAGGAAGTCCATTCAATAGTTTCAAAAATAAACTGAGGCACTCCTGAGAACGACAGAGATGGTTTTACGATTTCCAGTGTCATCCAGTGATAACAATCCATTTCTGTTTTCACGCAGCATCACCAGCGCGCTCAACTCGATCCGAAGAGACGAGAAGCATTGTTTAAGTAGTGTTAATTGAATGAGTTCACAGTACTTAATAGTATATGAAATATAAGCCGATAATTTATCCGAGCATCTACAGAAATTTCTGACATTCACACAGCTCAATACTCTCAGCTTCATCCCTAGCATGCATAAGTTGAGAATCCTGCCCCAAGTATACAGTATTCTTCCTTCCCAATACTTCATGTAGGTGTCACCTGAAATCCATGACATTTCGTTGCAGCATTCATCACTTCTGGCTCACGCGCCAAAATACTGGATTTTCCGGTTAGGATTCGTCCTGCTGCTGGGTGTCAGACAATCTACAGTACATCAGTGATCCCCAACCCGCGAAGTTTTTTGCTGGTCCCTGGGAAATTTTCAGCATAATACAGTACATACGTTTCAAAAGTATAGGGATGAATTTTTCCCTTTTCACCTAACCTTTTGGACAAAAAACAATGACAGTTTCAATCAGTGTGATGATAGTTTTAATCCCAACCTTTTTGGGTCCACGGACCAGAAACTTTCCAAAAAAGTTTCGCGGACTGGTAAGAGTTTCATAACATTTTTACAAACTTAAAGAAAACATGCTGCTTGATAGAGTTTATGACAGATATATAACGTATTCTGCGTCTTGCAAAAATTAATTTGAGCACCCATATGAAGCAGCTGTAGCTGAATGTCATCGAAAACTTAGAAAAGTGGGCGTAAAGAAAGGTTTTTTAGAATGAAAATACAGTATTGAAGAAATTTATTTCATCTGTTGAAAAGGCGTTTGAAATGTTATTATAGGAGAAAAGCCAACTTTTAGTTTTCGTTGAATGATAACTGCATGGTATGTCCAAAATTTTAGATAATTTTAACTCAGCTCAGTGCTAATTTTAAGAAATGTTCTACATATGCTGCAAATTTCCCCGGGACTGGCAAAAAACTCCTGTGGATCAGCGCTGGTCCGCGGACCACAGATTGGGAAACACCGGCTTTCATTATCTGATGAGAATGAAAGTTGGCTTTTCTCTCAGCACCTCAGACAAATTTACACCTGCTGAAATAAATAAGAATTAATTTTAATTTTTTTCATTCTGAGGAACCTTTCTTCAAGCCCACCTTTCTAATTTTTTGAAAGCATTCCACATCTATACGCCTGTATCCTTGGTGATAAGTCAAATTTTTGCAAAAATCAGAAACCTTTGGGAGTCTGCAAACTTTAATGAAACTTTGCCAGTCCGCAGAAATTTTTCTTTG